GGGGGGGGGGGCGTACTCATTTGTTTTGCATGCCTTAGCCGATAGACCATTACCACGCGTCCCCCAGAGGACGGTGAAATGTTCCCACAGGACCGATCACCGATGGCCCAATCGTTCCTGCCTTGCCAAAGGTGGCTCAAGTACGTTTTTCCTAGCCTATCTATCCCATCGAAATCACTTCCCGCCTTTTCAACCAACATCTTATGCCCCAGTACAGCTACTGTCTTGTCCAGGCTATTCCACGTGTCAACCGTCTCCCTGTATATGCCTTGGGTGGGAGCAGAAAGCAGTCAAGGGTACGCCCGAACACGATAAAAAAACAAAAATACATCCACCGAATGTATAGCACCAGCCTCGTGTGGTGGACACGCTTGGACAATTGCGAGAGGCCCTCTCTCTTGCTCCCAGTACGTGTGTCTTTCAAACCCACCCATCCTTGCCTGCCCTATGATGTCAAGCGGCACGGTGAAACACTGCATCACGGCTGAGCTGGCCGCCCCCGCCGACATATTCCGGACCAACTCCCCTTTCTCCGGCCCCAGCCGCTGGTAGAGGTCGCTGCCCGGCCCCAGGTGGTGACGAACCACCTGTTTGGCTCACAATACAAGTGCCGTACGGGTCCCGATACAGTGCGGCCAGTGGCCCCGATATAGTGCGGGGGGGGGGGNNNGGGGGGGGGGGGGGGGGGGGGGGGGGGGGGGGGGGGGGGGGGGGGGGGGGGGGGCTGTACTTGCGCAAATGACTTTATGAAGATCCATGGCTTGCGCCCATCGGATACAGCAGTCGATGTATGTACGTTGATTCCATTTTGGTAGTTGAGGCAAGAAAGGAGGAAGAGGTGCACGAGACACAAGACAACACGCATTGGGACAGGGCGATAGGCTGCAAGTGGGCAGCGAGACGAGTCAGGAACGCCAACGCATGCCGCTTTCCAGTACACAAAAGGGCGGGGGGGATGGGGGGTTCGTAGGTGAGAGCGCGGGGGGCAGTCCGTGGGGCCACTTGAACCATGAGTCACCGAGGGAATCGGGCGGGTCCCGCATCTCGTCTGGTCTCAGCTTGTCCGGCGCTTCTTCCTTCGCGAAACCTACCGGCACATTGACAGATTCATCCTCTCTTCGTGACGCCGCAACACACCATGAACAAACGTAACGTACAACAAAAAAGGCAACAAGGCAGTCAAGCCGAAACGCAGAGAGCCAGCGGCGATCAAAGCGCAGCACACCTCGTAGGTCGTGAAGTAGACCTGTCGAAACACCAGGCTGGTCGAGCTTATCCAGAACCCCTTCGAGTCGATAGCAGGAGCAGGAGAACAAGCAACAGGTGCGTGGGAGGGGGAAAAAGAGATATAATGTGGATGATGACCCACACCGAACGCAAAATCACAGGGAAAAAAAAAAGTGGGTCAACACGGAGCTACAGCAGTACAGCAGCAAATGGGTTCAAGTGTCGTGATAACAAACGCCTGCTGCTGGGACTGCCGCTGGGACTGCTACACTGCTTTTGCGGAAGATATGCTCCGCGTCGTGGATCACGCAGTCAAAACGGTGACAGGTCAGGAGGCGCTATTCTCGAACATTGTGTACTGAAGATAGACCAAGGACACGTGTGTTAGGAAAAGTGAAATTCCAATCTGTTATTGCCCTTTCAATGCCAGACACAGGCCGAGTGCGGTGTGTCTTCCCAGTGCCCTTTGTGGTGTTATACCAGCACAGAACGAGCACAGAACGCCTCTATGCACACATGCACACGACTTACCACATCGCGAACGGGGTGTGTTGGAGTGAACGCTACACTTGAATCCATCACAGTAGACCCCCCCTACACCTACGTCCCCCAGAGAGCAGGTTGGGAGGTATGAACTCCTCCTGTGTATTGTATTGTCTTTCGGTACTGTAATCCTGGCAGCACTCTGCACCATGTGCGATAATAGCGCAAGGACCGAGAGTGTGAGAAAGACAGCAAAAAATGAAAGATGATGAAAAAAAGGAGTTCTATTTCGTGGGAGACGTGCATACGCAGAACCTCACCTTATAGAGACCTCTGACCCCCTCCTCCCGGACAGTCGCCCTCGCCACCTGGAACGCCGACTTCTCGCTCGCGCCGCCCCTTGCCACTTGAATCTTGGTCTTGAGGAGGAACGGGGGGTACAGAAGCGCCCGCACGCCCATAAAAAAAGTGATGCCATAAGAGTAACTGATGTTTGGGTTGAGGGGGCATGAGAGGCGGATGGAGGAAGGGTCGGTCCGGGGGATAAGTGGGCGGGAAGAGGAAGAACGGAGGGGCGGCGGAACACAAGGGGGGGGGGGGGGGCTTGGCACATGTTAT